AGCAATCAGATAAGAGAAAGGGGAAAAAAGGCATGCAGATAGAAAAGGGGGAAGTCAAATTATCCCTTTCTTCAGGTGATATGATTCTACACATCAGAAAACCTCACCAAAAGACTATTAGAACTGATAAATGAGTTCAGTAAAGTAGCAGGATACAAAATCAAGGCTAAAAGTCAGTGGCTTTTCTATACACCAATAATTACACCAATAATGAATTTTCCAAGAAAAAAAAATCATGACAGCAATCTACTTGCAATAGCTACATAAATAAACAAACTAGGAATAAACCAGAGGAATTCAGGACTTTTAACAATGAAAACTGTAAAACTTTGATTGATGATACAAAAATTAATTTTAAAAACAAATAAAAGGAAAGGAAAGATCTCCCATTCTCATGAATTAGAATAATTAATGTTGTGAAAATGTCCATAATACCCAAGTGATCTATAAATTCAATGCAATCTCCATCAAAATATAACGACATTCTTACAGAACTAGAAAAACAACTCTAAAATTCCTATGGAAGCATAAAAGACCCCAAAGAGCCAAAGTAATCTTGAACAAAAGGAACAAAAACCTGATTTGAAGACATATTGCAGAGTCATTGTAGCCAAAATAGTATGGTATTGGCTTAAGAACAGACACAGATCAATGGAACAGAACAAAGAACCCTGACATAAATCCACACATCTACAGCCAGGTTATTCTTAATAAGGGTACCAAAAACAGATTGGTCAAAGGACAGTCTCTTTAACAAGTAGTCCTGGGGAAACTGAATATCCACATACAGAAGTTTGAAACTTGATCCCCTTCTCTCACCCTGTACAAAAAGTCAACTCAAAATGGATCAAAGACTAATATACAACATGAAACTACAAGAAAATTTAGGGTATGTTCTTCATTGGTAGAGGCAATGATTTTCTGGATAGCCCCCCAAGAGCACTGGAAACGAAAACGAAAAATAACAACTAAGATTAAAATAAACTAAAAAGCTTCTGTGCAGTTTAGGACATAATCAACAGAGTGACGAGACAATCTTCCGAAGGGGAGAATATGCCACCTCTACGTGTGACAAGGAGTTAATTTATAGAATATATAAGAGCATGAAAAACTTAACAACAAAAAAAGTAATCCCATTTAAAACTGGGCAACTGATCCGAATAGACAATTTCTCAAAAAAAAAAGAAATACAATGGCCAATTAAATTATGGAGAAAAGCTCAATATCATTAGCCATCAGGTAAACCCAAATCAAAAGTACAAGAAGAGACCATCTCACCTCAGTTATAACTGCTGTTACCAAAACCAAGCAAACAAACCCCCTCAAAATAACAAAAGCTGATGAGAATGTGGGAAAAAATGAACTTTTTATACACTGTCGGTAAGAATGTAAATTATATACCCATTATGGAGGTTCATAAAAATTACCAAAAATAGGTCTACCATGTGATCCAACTCTTCCACTCCTGGGGATATAGACAAAGAAAGTGAAATTAGCAGACCAAAGAGATATCTACATACCCATTTTTAATGTAGCATTATTCACAATAGCTTAGATATGGGATCATCTGAGTTGCCCATCAACTGATTAATGGATTTTTTTTAAAATGTGGTACAATAGACTGAGCCATAAAGAATGAAATTCTGTCATTTGCAGCAAAATGGACAGAAGTGGAGGTCATCATATTAAGCAAAACAAGTCATACACAGAAAGACAAGAATCACATGTTCTCTCTCCTATGTCAAAATGTTTAAAAAATGTTGACCTGAAAGTAGAAGAGTTATTACTCTAGTCTGGAAAGGGTGCATGGGTGGGCAAAGGATATAAGAAGTGTGGATGGGCATGAACAATGCAAAATGCATGCATTATGAAAATCTCACAATAAATCACATTAATTTGTATAATTAATATGTCAATAATTAAAAATTATATAACAATTCCATGTCCAATTTATTGTATTTGAAGAGTCAGAGTTCACTTGGGAGGGAAATTCTGGTGATAGGCACACAGATACACCATTTTTCAGATAGACCAAAGAGTTCAGATTTTATGTGCCTATGGTACTTTTGGAAGTTTACTAAGATTGGTTAATATTTATTTTTAGGACAAACACAAGGAATCAGGCTAAACTACAGATGGCTGTGCAATGGTGTTAAGTTACCATTTTTAAGGCCTCTTTTTTCTTAACAAATTTTTCTTTTTCAAAACTCTGTTATTTTCCACTTTAAAATGTAAGACAAGATATACAAAAGAGAATAAGGAATTCATACAAGTTTATAGGTAATACTGAATCAATAAGCAAGAACAGGTGACCCTGAGGTCACTGTGCACTCGCATTTGGGAAAAAGAGTCAAAAACTGTTGTTCCCAACAGTACCAACTGTTATTTTGCCAAAGGGGTCAATTCCATGGTCAGAGCTGGGCAAAAAGAAGAAAGGCCACCTGACCCACTGAACAGCAGCAGAAGCTGCTGCCACAATGCCCCTCCATTGTTTTGGAGGGTTAACAACGACAGTGAGAAGAGACAAGAAGGAAAGCTTTGTCCTGTGCTGGGTCAAGAGAAGATGAATTATGTCCCCCAGCATCTTTTACTCGTCCATCCAAAAATGATTTAACACATATTGATAAAGTCTCCATAACAGACCAGATAGTCTTGTACCAATCTCAGTCCACAAATATGCATAAGGCGATTTCTACCCAAAGAACTTTGTCTTCTAATTGGGGATGTGAGACACGCATAACAGGGGGAAAAGGAGCTAAATGTACAAGACACTGAAAGTGCCACCATGTGGTACAGACAACAAATACTGTGGGAGTGAGTGGGACCAGATGGAGATTGCTACTGAAAGCACTTAGAATTTCAGAGAGGCAGATAAAAAGGTAAAATGTCAGCTTTGCAACTAGTTTGGAGAAATGTTCTAAAAAAGCTCACTTGGCAGTCAGTTCACAGAGCCTCCTAGTACATGGGTACCAAGTCCTTTTGAAATCTGAGGCCTGATTCCCAGAGGCCTTCAGACAGAGTACAAAGTAGGAGCAGGTGACAATGAAGTAATCCAGGCCCCAAGAAAGGACACACCCACCACCATCTCTGGCACGGCTTCAGCCGCTCTCTTGGCAGCAACAGAAGGTCATCAGAGTCACTCCCATCCTGGACCTTTGAGAAATCAAGTATTTTGAAAGCCAGGTCAATCTATATTCAATACTAATTAAAATTAATCATCAATTAAAACTTAGGTGATGATTTTTGCAAGGGAAGAAAATTAGCATTTATTGAGCCACTTTCCATTTCTTCCAGTAAAACACACACAACTATCCTTTGAGGTAGACACCTCAATCCCATTTTACAGACGTGGACACTGAGGACTGGAAGGGTTAAATAAGAGGCCCACTCTCACCCAGAGCTGGGGACTAGTTTTGTATCTGACGCAACAACCTTCCCAAGACTCTGCTCCCACATCAGGCTGCCTCTTAAAAGTGCCATTAAAAGCCAGCAAGATGGAACTTTTGCTAATCAGACACATCCTTTCTGAAATGAACGGTTTAAATCCTTTCAGATCAGTGCCAGGAACAAATTCCAAAGGACTGACTTCCTCTGTGTCAGATCAATGGCCCTTTGTGAGGCTTTCTTCCGGGGGACCCTTCTAATTAGATCTTGAAAATTAATCCTCTGACAGGAGAGGCTGTTTTTTTGGTGCTTTGGGAATTGTTTTGATGTTTGCTTTTCAATTTTGTAGCAGCTTAACAGTATCCAAGAAAATCATAAGGAAAAATAGAGAATAACATTAGAGAGGTCTGTAAAGCAGGAGAAGGAATTACACTAGTTTTACTTAGCCACACAAGAAGAAATGTATGTATTCTTGTGGCTGACATGTATTTGATCAGAGAGAACAGAGTTATAATCTCTATTCCCCCCCAAAAAAAAAAAATTTTACACCAACCTAAGAGAAACTGGGATATCAGGACTTAGAAATCTATTAGCCACCCCTTTAGAAAGAAGAAGGAAAATAAATAATACTAAAAACATCTTGTTTATTTCTATTTGTTAGAAGAAAAAGTAAGAAAATGACACTTATCATTAGAAATGGGTTGAATGTGCCGGTTTGATAGGAAACTAATATGTAAAAGGGTCTCACCTGTAATTCTGGATAACATCAGGAACAGTGAGGCTAATGTGAAAGCCTCCTCATCAGGAAACTAATGGAAGTAGAGAGAAATCTCAGGGCTCTAACTAACTCATGACAGCTTTAAAAGGAAATAGTTTTTGAAATCCTCTGTTCTCTTCAGATGTATTTTGAGTTCCAATGTCATGAGCCCCATTGTCAGGGAAGTGTGCAGGACTAAGAGGCCAAGTCTTGCAAATGGTGATAGTGCTCAGAACAGGTATGGAGGGAGAGAAAGAGCCCACATATATTGGGCACCAGCTGAGATCATTCTGTTGAATCCCACAGCAACTTTTTAGAGAAACGGAAGTGTATAGAGAAATGAGTACCCAAGACCTAGGACTGTACTAGAGTTTTAGGTACTTTATTTCTTTATCAATAAGGAAACGGAGCCACAAAGAATTTGAGTTCTACCTTAAGATTCTAGAGCTATGACTGAGGATGTCTGGATTTAAACCAGTTCTATCTGAAACTCTCCATTCCTCTACTCTTTCCCCCATAAAAGGCTGGGGCCAAACCTTGTGTGGCACCAATACTGAGCAGATAGCTTGCACATAACAAGTGCTCCATAAACAGGGGTTGTTACCGTGGCTACAAAGGGCAAACTTTCCTTTTGGCCTGTACACACTGCCTATCAGAGAATTCACTTTGGATCTTTGCTCTGCCTCCTTTGTGACCTACTCATATTTCATTAGGCATTCAATTTTGTTTTTTATATCACAACTGAAACAATTGTAGTCTTCCCCATAAGTGAAAGGACTAAAGGAGGGTGGGTTGAGAGAAAAAGAGCAATAAAAGTCCAGTAGACAGAAATGCAACCTACATTTTATTACATACTTACAGGAATAGTATTTGATAAAGAAGCCCAAAGCATTAGCAGCACATAATTTGGATTTAGTTTATTTGTTTCCATCTCTAGAATCTCCAGCACAGCCTGCATTAATGTCTGTTTAAAATAAATAAATACTGTCAAACCATGGCTATATGACAAAGAGAGATAACACAAGCAGAAAAGTATGCATTTTTATTTAATACAAAAGAAAATATCCTTGTCATTTCCAGACTTCAATTTGAGGCATGCTAAGGGATTGATGTACTTGCTGGTAGTATAGCAATTAGGAATAGCAACTCCAGTAGAGTTCAATTGCATTTCTGTCTTGTTTCAAATCCTGGTTTTGCTATTTAAGAGGTGAGTGACCTTGGACAAGCTAATTTAAGCTCTTAGTACCTCAGTTTCCTCATCTGTCAAATGCACATAATATGGAATCTACCTCAAAGATTGTTGTGAGAATTAAATTAATTTATGCAGTTACCTATAAAATGCCTGGAGCAAAACCTCGTTCATATTACGATAAATGTTACCTTTTAAAAAAATAAATTTCTGCTCTTAGGAAAATGTAAGCAATCCAGGAACAAAGATTAATTGCTTAAAATATCTAATGTACTCCTCAGTCTATACCCAAAGGACTTAAAAATAGCATATTACAGGAACACAGCCACATCAATGTTTATAGCAGCACAATTAACTATAGCTAAACTGTGGAACCAAACTAGATGCCCTTCAATAGGTGAATGTATTAAAAAATGTGGCATATATACACAATGGAAATTACTCAGAAATAAAAGAGATTAAATCATGGCATTTGCAGGTAAATGGATGAAGTTGGAGAAGATAATGCTAAGTGAAGTTAACCAATCCCAAAAAACCAAACGCCAAGTGTTTTCTCTGATATAAGGAGGCTGATTCATAGTTGGGTAGGGAGAGGGAGCGTGGGAGGAATAGATGAACTCTAGATAGGGCAGAGGAGTGGGAGGGGAGGGGAGAGGACATGGGGTTAGAAATGATGGTGGAATGTGATGGACATTATTATCCAAATTACATGTATGAAGACACAAATTGGTGTGAATATACTTTGTATACAACCAGAGATATGAAAAATTGTGCTCTCTATATATAATAAGAATTATAATGCATTCCACTGTCATATATAAATGAAAAATTAACTAAAAAATATCTAATGTCATCCTTCTCATTTTAATCTTTAAAAGCTTCCCCTTGACAGTGTGGTGGTGCACACTTGTAATCCCAGCAACTCAGGAAGCTGAGACAGAAGGATTACAAGTTCAAAGCCAGTCTCAGCAACTTAGCAACGCCCTAAGCAATGTGGCAAGACTCTGTCTCAAAAACTAAAAAGGGCTGGGAAAGTAGTTCAGTGGTAAAGTGGCCCTAGGTTCAGTTCCCAGTACCGATAAATAAATAAATTTGAAATTACTTTGTAAAAGGTAACATTGTGGCTGGTACAGAATAGGTACTGCATATATATAAGCTTCCATCTCATTATCACTTCTATAATAATGGATTAGCAGAAATAAAAATGGTTTAAGTATGAATCTCATTTACTTCTTTGTACTATAAGTTATTACAAATCTAAGTTCTCTCTCATGAAAATCTTATAGGTGTATTTCATTCTTTTTACATGTTATTCTGTGGTATGATGATTTTAAATTAAAAAAATCAGTATAACATTTATATAGAATAACATGGAAGATCACCAAAATTTGCATTTCTTTTATAATAAAATACATGTATAATTTTTTAAACATATGTATAATTTTTAAATATATATATATTTTAAAATATATATATGTATTTTAAAATACATGTATAATTTTTAAATATATATTTTTAAATACAATTTCTATCTAGTGTTCTGCAAATCAGTCCTTATATAGTAGAATATTTAAAAAAAAAAAAACCTCTTTATTTTTTTCCAAGCCCACGTTAAAGAAAAAAAAAGAATGGTTTGGGGTGAGACAAGCTCAGAAAGAACACTGCCGAAGAAAAACAGAGAAACAATACAGCAAAAAATGAAGTCCATGAATGTTGAAGCCAGATATTTTTTCCCCAAAGTCTCAAATGTTGGGTTAACTTCTGCAAAGTTCAGATTTTGTTGTTATTCAAATAGGGAAACCAAGTGCCTATGATTTAAAATGCCTCGTTTCTTTACAGTAAGAAAAATAAATGTTATTCTACAGATATAAGGAATTTTAGCTTGAGATTTTAAAACCCTATTTTCTAGGCTTATAGATTACAGATGTGGGTTTACCTTCCACACACATATACTTCTCTGTCCCTAACTCCTGGAAAGCAATACAAACAAAAATGTATGTTTGTCTGTGTGTATCTGTAAAAAGGACATGTTTCTTGAGCATTTCTATCAATGGGAAGCATTCCAGAATAGCACTCTGTTTCTTTCTTTAGGAGGGAGACGTGTGAGCATTCACACATTTCGTTCTTCTAAGCCTCTATTCTTCTCCAGAGTTAAGTTGTTTGGGACAACTCTTTACTAAAGACAAGTAAAGATGACAAGTGATGTCATCTTTAAGTATGAAAAGAGTTGAAGTGATTTTTAAAATGATTACAGTGCTGAACTCTAAACTAGTCCTTACTATGTTTTAAGCACTTAAAAATTAACTCATTTAATCCCCGCAATGATTCTATGAGATATGTGAGGAAACTGAGGCCAAGAGTTCAGATACTGCCCGAGGTCACACACTGGTGACCACATTTGAATCCAAGCAGCCCAGAACAAAAGAAACCTAGGTTCTTGGGGGGGGGGCGGGACCATGCATCAGATCAGATCATTATCAAAAGTTCCTAGAGGTGGTTTTAATTACTGTCAGAGTGAAAACCATGCATTAGAAAGCCTCAGAAACATATGGAAAGGCTTGTGAAACTGAATTGCTGGGCTCCAGCTACCCCAGAGCTTTCAATTCAGGGAACCACAGGCGTAGACTAACATTGAGGGCATTGGTTCTAGCACTTGGCACTTAAATCATACTATTCTATCTTCTCTAAAGAAAGAACAGCTGGTGGTCGTGGCCTCAGGTGGCCTCAGGATCACGGTCTACTTTATAGAGCTTTATTATCTGTCCAAACTTGCTATTAGTCCATCCTGTCACTATTGGCATAGCTGTTAAATAAAAATTATCAAAGGCCATTGTTTTGGACTAAATTCCTGCACTGGGCCCCTATAGACCAGACTAAAAATCAAATGGAGTCACCCAGGCTAAAGTTATACATCATCAAACCATAATTAAGTTGTGCTCTGACTTTCCAAGAAGTCAGGAGAATGACTGACAGACAAATTTCCCAAACAGACCAATAGGCACAGCATGAAGTTCCCTTTGCTTTAATCCTTAACTCCATTAATCCTTACAAAAAGTAACCAGAGGTGATCTGATATTAACCGATCAGTCATTCTTTTTTGTTTGTTCGTTTGTTTTGTTTTGTTTTGGGTGCCAGGGATTGAACTTACGGGTGCTTAACCACTGAGCCACATCCCTACTTCCTCAATATTTATTTTTTTTTTTTTAGCTCCTACTAAGTTCCTTAGAGCCTCACTAAGTTGCTGAGGCTGGCCTCAAACCTGAGATCTCCCTGACTCAGCCTCCCAAGCCACTGGGATTACAGATGTGTGCCACCATGCTCAGGTAGTCATTATATGGTTCTCCCTGTCCTTCATCTTTATGGGAAGTGACTTCGAAACCAATGATCATATTTTTGTTCTTTGTTTCTGGTTTTTTGTTTGTTTGTTTGTTTTCAGCCCTTTTCTATCTATGGAACCAACCTCTTCTGCTCAGCCTATCAGAATATTTATTCTATTTTCTAGAATTGCAAAATAAGATCTATTAAGATCTTTAAACTAGATTAATTTTTTTCCTTTGACACAGTCAACTATATGATGACATATAAAGAATATTAGAATTTTATTTCATTGGTAGCCTCTGTTTTTTCTTGTGTAGAATAGGATTGATAACCTCAGTGTTGTGAGGATTTAATAATAACATATGTCAACATGTCCAGTATATCCACCTGGCACAAAAGTAGCATTAATTAAACACATGATGTGTTTAATTAAAAATATTTTTACAAATCATAGTTTATTACCATCTTCATCATATGTATTTTAGCAAAAGAAGCTAAAGAATACTTACCACAGAATTATCTTTTGCAGATCTATATGCTTTTATATCTGGAATGCTTTTCTCAAATAGGGCTAGGAGCCACCTTTTGGATTTTGACCAGTTTCTGCACAAGGAAAAAATATGTGTGTAGAAATTAATTTGAAAGCATATTAGGAGTAATGGGTCATAGTATAAAACAGAGAATGTCCATGGAATTAGAATTATTTCTTCTAATTTCTTCTTTATTTTTGGGTAGACTTTAATATGAGGTCTATTTCACATGAGGTCTACCTCATATGTTCACAAGGACAATTGAGAGGACAAAGGGAACCACATTTTAGTCGTTTGCAAAATAAACGTCTGGATTCCTAGTGGGTTGGCATTGAAGAAGAAATGAAATTGTACAACTTGCTTGGTTTACTTTCACTATGGCTGTTCTAAGTTTTAAAAGGAGGAAAACCCAGCACAGAGACCAATTGCTAAATTATGCCTGCAAAGAAACTGGCTATCATTGTGTTAATCTTTCTAACAAGTCACCATTATACGTTGCAACAGTCTAAATGTCTGTGTTCTCTTCAAAACCCTATGTTGAGATCCTAGTCTCCAAGGTGATGGGATGAGGAGGTGGGACCTTCTGGAAGGTCCCCCGATGTAGGGAACTAGTTTCCTTGTAAAAGAGCATGGACAGAATTTGTCCACCCCTTCTACCATAGGAGGACACAATGAGAAGTGGACAGGCTACAAGCTGGAAGAGAGCCCTCATCAGATCCGAGACTGACTGCAACCCTGATCTTCAACTTCTCAGCCTCCATAACTATGAGAAATAAATTTTTATTGCTTATGAGCCACTCAGTCCATGGTACTAAAAACAGCTCAGATGGGGGAAAGCATACAGCAACTGCCAAGAAATTAAAAACCTAGGCACTTATTTTGCATTTGAACCATTTTACAAACATTTATCTGAAACAACTGTAAGAAATAACATTTGGCCACACCTACTTTTGCTTCAGAGAGAACGAGGCTGAGACTGGTCACACCTGATGCCTTTGCCTGGATCCAAACTGAATCAGTGTCATAATAATAACTTATTCGTGAAATAAAAGGCCTCAAAATAAATTCTTCACCCCTTCTTTTTCACTCAGTAGCTCTTTTGATTTTGCTCATCAAAAAAAGATAAAGAAAGAAATGCATCTCTTTTCTTCATTCCTCCCTCAATTCACATTTACACACTAAAACAGAAACAGGTCATAGAATAACTCCTCTCCCACTTAAATTGCTGTTATATATATCTTGGAAAAATAGAATTGAGAAGACTGTATAAATTGCTGAGAAGAGCTTGTACAAAGAATCAGTGACCTACCTCAGGAGCCATTCTGGCATCTGGGACCCATACTCAAAACCCTCATCGTAAGCTTGAAAATGCTGGTAAAACTCCTTCATTTTCCTCTCGTGTGTAAGAAACAAACCTTTATTAAAGAGTATATTCACTGTGACAGGATAAAGGAGATTCCTATAAAGACAGAAATACACATTAAATAGACATAATGACAGGAGAAGAAAGGTACAAGATACAAAAGAGGTGATTTATTAGGAGTAGATACTATGTGACAATTTCTTTTGGGGAAAATCATTTTTTTTTTTTCAAGCTAGGGGAGTTACTGGGGATTGAACCCAGGGGCACTTGACCACTGAGCCACACCCTAGCCCTATTTTGTATTTTATTTAGAGATGAGGTCTCACTGAGTTGCTTAGCACCTTGCTTTTTTGCTGAGGCCAGTTTAAACTTGCAATGGTCCTGCCTCAGCCTCTGGAACCACTGGAAAAATCACTCTTAAAAATTTTTAATATGGGCTGGGGATGTGGCTCAAGTGGTAGTGCGCTCGTCTGGCATGCGTGCGGCCTGGGTTCGATCCTCAGCACCACATACAAATAAAGATGTTGTGTCTGCCGAGAACTAAAAATAAATATTTAAAAAAAAATTAAAAAAAATTTTAATATCTGCTAACTGTGGTCAAGATGATTTGGGGATAGCTGAAATTGTGGTCTTATTTATCTGAAGATTCTAAAATTTTTTCTAAGCAGATATATTAGATAAATCCTGACAAATATGATATAAAAAACAGAAGCAAATTTATTCAATGCAGTTCAACAAGAAAATAATAACAATGTCTAAGGTACAGCCCTTGCCTTTAAAGTAACCAGAGAATCAAGGGCAGTAGTAGTCACCAGATTTCATAATTCCTCACAGGATTCCACATATTCAAATTACTGCATATTGAAATATACTGTGATCTTTAATATTTTTTACTGTAAGTGAGTAAAATGATTAATGTGGCATAATTAAGAAAAGAATATCTGGGGCTGGGATTGTTGCTCAGCGGTTAGAGCACTCACCTAGCACAGGCAGGGTGCTGGGTTCGATCCTCAGCACCACATAAAGATAAAATAAAGGTATTATGTCCAACTACAACTAAAACAAAATATTTTAAAAAAAGAAAAGAATATCCAAAAATACTCAATATTCAAAGATATTCTAATATCAAAGATAAATTTATGCCCCTTTAGGATCACTTTTCTCCAAAGTTTCAAAAACATCCAGAGATTTGCATTGTTTTATTACAGATACTATGCAAGCTTTAGCAAATTTTTAAGTTTGGTTGGTTGAGTTTGCTTCCCCCCACCCCCTCTATCTGAACTTCTAAGAAACCACTATACATCATTCTGTTTTAAGTCAGAACTGCTGGATTTTGCCTTCAGCATTCCAGAATTCCACTGAGGTGGAAAAGAGCTTCAGGTTTTCTAATCTACCAAATCGCTTAAATCTCTTTCTGTGTAGAGGGAATTTGCTCTCATAGCTTCCATGCCCAGCCTTAAACTTTTCCAGAAAGCTGTAAAACAGAGCTGATCCATCCCCTACCCCAAGCTCTCTCCTGTCTCTTGGGACCTACCTTCTAAGATAACAGTCTTAAAGTGAATGTGTAACCTATGTGATTCTGCAATCTGTATTTGGGGCAAAAATGGGAGTTCATAACTCACTTGAAACTAATGCTCGAAATATGATATGTCAAGAGCTTTGTAAGGTTTTGAACAACCAGTAAAAAAAAAAAAAACAGTTCTGAGACCCACCCTGGTTTTGTCTGGGCTACCTTTTGAAGTCTCACAGGAACCTCCTGGACCCTCATGATCCACTTCACCATTCCCTCCTCTCTCCTGTCCTCTCAGTGTCTGATCATCACAGACTGCTCTGAATGGTGGGTGTATGACAATTGTGAGAGGTACATCCATGGAACATATACACAATTACTGGAAGGACACTATAGAAATTACTATAAATATATCAAAATGATTGTATTGGATTTTTTGCTTACAACAAAATTGAAGTGCTAAACTAAAATTGCACACTAATTAAAATTTAATATTTTTTTAAAAATCTGTAATAGCCTCATTTGGTAGACTTCATTAACTGTATTGAATCAATTTGTTTCTAATTACTTCATTACACCAAGTAATTTCCCAAGTCCAATGTATCATATTAAATTTTTTTTTAATTCCAGAAAAGCATGATTAAATCATACAAACACATTTACTTATTTACCTTTTTTACCTATTTACCTTACAAAGTTGGTCAGTTCCATTGTCCCCTGAGTGCCTAAATTTTCCAATTGTTCATGTAATTCTTCAGTCAGTTGCCCAGTAAACTGATGTATGTTGAAGGTCCCCATTTTCCCTTTCATCATAATATATAGCTTTTCATTCAGTGTTAAAAAGATATTCTTTGGAATTGATGCTATAAACAGAGAAAACTATTTTCAAAACAAGCAACCACTCTTTAAAGCATACAAACAGTATACCTCTGCCAATACTTGGTCAGTAGGGACGATTACCAAAATCCTTTTCTTACATAAAATCACATCTGGCAAGTAAATGCAGGTGAAGATTCAGTCCATACTGTGAGACAGTCTAGAGGGTGACTCACTTTAAGGGATGGAGAGGATTGGTTTTCTGCTTCTTCCTTCTCTAAATCTATATTCCATGCATATTTAAAATACATAATATTTTGCATATCCCAGCATTTTCAGGAGCTATTCAAAATGCTCAAAACACTCTTAGTTTTACTACCCTAGCACCTACCCCCACCTACCCACATTCATAAGATCCACATTTCTCTTGCTAATTTCTATTTATCCTTCTAGTATCTTCTTGAATGTTACTTGTACCAAAAAGCCTTTTCAAATCCCATGAATAACTGACTCCACTATTTCCTTTATATTCATGTTCTTTTCACAATATACACTTCCAGTTAGGTTGGGGTAGTCGAAATATAAGGTATTTTAAAAACATATCTCCTTAGATTTTTTCTTTTACCTTGTTGTATTGTCTCTGAAGTATCTTTTATCAAATATAAAAATATAATTTTATATTTATCATCTTATTATGTGTAGGTTATATTTTGTGTAAGTTAATTAAAAACAAGCTCTAGATTTCCTGAGCATACATCTTCTCTAGGAGAATTTTAAAAAGAAATGGGAAACAGGCTTAAGAGTAAATATTATAATATTTATTTTTTTAAATATTTTTTAGTTGTCAATGGACCTTTATTTTATTTATTTATATGCAGTACTGAGAACCGAACCAAGGGCCTCATACATGTTAGGCAAGGGCTCTACCACTAGGCCACAACCCCTGCTCCTATTATCATATTTCATCTGTTAAACAGAAATATTTATGCATAAAAGGCCCAGGAGAGGCACAGATGAAAATAAAAGATAATTTCCATAATCCTCAATAGGTAAGTTAGTATATTTTTTTCCTAAAAGGATATGTTACCATACAGATTAAAAGCCTTCACAATATTTATATTTCTTGATCAGAAATTCCACAACCCATATATCACTAAGCACTAAATAGTGTTTAACCAACATGTGATTTTCATGCAAGCAAGAAGAAAAGAAAACAATTATGTTATTGATCACTGAGAAATTTAAAACTTTTTGTCTTAGGAGCAAGAAATGAATGAGAGTACATGAAGAAGAAAAAAAGAAAGAAGACGTGGATGGTAGAAACAAGTGCAAACATTGTGAAAGCAGAGAAAACAAATGGGCACAAAGTGAACCAGCTTTGCATTCTGGAAGGACGAAGAGCTTCAGCACACAAATCCACAGCCTGGGAAGAAAGGAAGGCCAACAGCCCCAGTAGAAGCACGCCCCCACGACAAGCCAGCAGTCGCTAAATTAGATGGGGAATTTGTGATCAGGCAAGCCAGGCCCTGGCTTACCTTACTAGCCCTGTGGGATATGTCAGGAAAAGCCATTCAAGGGCTTCCTAAACAGAAAGTGGAGCAACAACATGTAATCAAGCCAAGAGCTGTCATCACAGCTGCAGAACAATTTTACCAGTATTTTGGGTGCTGTAACATGATACACACTCCAAAGAGTCTTTAAAAACACTCAGTGAGGTAACCCCATCTCTTTCAACATGTCTAACTGAAGTCTAAAAGTATCAGCCTGCCAATAATTTGCCCTTCAATGACCAGAAAAGTTCATCCCATGCTATTTTCTCCTTCTAGTTCTACCTGGAGAATAAAGCAATGGGCCCTCATCATACTTGATGGAAACATAAGGATGTAATTTTTGCCTTCAACTTCTCTTGAACTCCAAAATTGTACTTCAAATGAACTACCTGAACGAATCATTTACCTGTACGATAGACGGGAGTTTGTACTGCTAGCTCAAAATTTACTTCTTTGGATTTTAGAAATATGTTAATTCCCTCTTCTTCAGTAACAAATGTCATTCGGTTTCCCATAGCAAAGACAGTAAATACTGGTCCATACTGAAATAAAACATAGAAACACATTTTATATTAATAAGCATTTCTAAGAATGATTACATTTTCCTCAAGAACTCCAATACTGAAATTATGGTCATGATAAAAATTATTAGGACTATATCTGATAATTAATTATAAATTTTGACTGTTTCAACCATGTTGTTATATAAATCCAAATTTATTCTGTCCTAATAATGTCTAATAAGATAGTTATTATTAACTCATATCTTCTTTTCTTATAGAATGAAATAATAATAATTATTATGATCATTATTTATTTATTTATTTGGTATTGGGGATTGATCCCAGGGGATCAATGCCTTCTTTCTCCAACTTTACCACTCAGCCACATCCTCAGCCCTTTCATGTTTTATTATTTTGAGATAGGGTCTTGCCAAGTTGCTAAGGGTCACACTAAGTTGCCGAGACTAGCCTCAAATTTGAGATCCTCCTGCCTCAGTCTCCTGAGTTGCTGAGATTACAGGAACGTAATCCTAGCATTGCCTGGCATCATAAAATAATTATTAGAAAACAATAATTGTAAATAATAACTAGAAAATTTATCAACACGGTGATATAAACCATTGTTGTCAAGATATCAATAGGATTATAAGCAATTAATAGCTTGGCATTACTCAAGAAAAAGACACAAAATTACCAGCTGCTTTTACAGGAAATCCATGGTCACTCAACTATGTCTTGCAAACTCAAATACATTTCTGTCCACTAACCTGTCCACTTTCTTATTTTTCAAAATAGCAATTTTACCTGTACTTCTTACTCAACTCTCTCCTTCTGAGACCCTGTTACAAGATCCTGCCTTGTAACTAGAAAAGATGCAGGCAATGAACTGAGCGCAGCCTCATCTTCTGAGTACTGCATCTGGCTAATCAAGCAAACTTGTGCCCATTCCCCCAGCTTTCCCTCCTGTTAACAGGGACAGAAGTTCCCACTCCTGTGAATCTCCGACTCCTTCCCTGTCTTATGGACCCTCTTCTCCCTTGCTTTCTCTTTGTTCTACATTTTGCCTTTATCTCCTACCTCATTTTTTTTTCTCTCTCTCTCTCTTGAGACACTCCTAGCAGCCTATAAAACATACTCTAGCATGAAGTTTCACTTCAGGGAGTCCATCATCTTGCTGGGAAATAGGGATGTCATTTTGGTGAATTCCAACTATAATTGAGCATTTGATTTAATGATGAATGTAGGCAAAAAAACATATTCTTACCCATGATTCTATCATCATAAGAAACCACACTTTCACAGCCCATTACAGTTATTATAGATGTCTCAGAATATCATTTATGCTCATTGCTACTTCAATAACAGTCATTTCTACACCTACAATGAGATGGCAGATGATTATTCCTATGATACATTTGTGGGTGCTACCAGGCAACTGTGGGTCCAAGAATCCCTGCATTGATGGAAAATGAAGCCCATCCTCCCACAGTGATGACCCAGACATCTGCATTCTTTTGATGTCTACAGAGTCCACAGTGATATCCCCTGTTTCATTACTAACACTGGTCACTTCTGTCTTCTGTCACTCTTACATGAGGTCTGGCAATGTTATTTATCTTTTAAAAAGACCAACTTTTTGTGGATTGGTCTCTGTGTCCTCTATTCTATACCATTGGTCCACCTGCCTGTTTTGGTACCAGTACCATGCTGTTCTTGTTACTATTGCTCTGTAATATAGTTTGAAATCTGGTATCGCTATACCACCTGATACACACTTCCTGCTTAGAACTGCTTTTGCTATTCTGGGTCTTTTGTT